GTGGGACACACCTGGGGACAGCTGGGGACAGGAAAAACACACCTGGGGACATGTGGGACACACCTGGGGACAGCTGGGGACAGGAAAAACACACCTGGGGACACGTGGGACACACCTGGGGACATCTGGGGACACCTGGGGGGGCTGGGGACACCTGGGGACAGGAAAAACACACCTGGATACATGTGGGACACACCTGGGGACACACCTGGGGACATGTGGAACACACCTGGGGACATCTGGGGACATGTGGGACACTCCTGGGGACAGGAAAAATACACCTGGGGATACCTTGGGGGGCTGGGGACACCTGGGAACACCTGGGAACACGTGGGGACGGGAAAAACACACCTGGGGAAATCTGGGGACACCTGGGGGAGCTGGGGACACCTGGGGACACCTGGGGACAATCTGGGATACACCTGTGGTACACCTGGGCATACCTGGGGACACCTGGGGACAGGAAAAACACACCTGGGGACACCTAGGGACACCGGGGGACAATGTGGGGACACCTGGGACACACCTGGAGGGGCTGGGGACACACCTGGGGACCCTTGGGGACATACCTGGGGACACCAGGGGGGCTGGGGACACTTGGGGACCTGTGGGAACACAGCTGGGGACACCTGGAGACACACCTGGGGACAGCTGAGGACACATCTGGGGACACCTGGGGGTACCTGGATACATCTGGGAACAGCTCGGGGGGCTTGGATACACCTGGGGACAGCTGGGCACACCCTTCTGAGTGTCCCCAGCTGTCCCCACCTGTTGCAGGTGAAGTACGGGGTGATCCAGGTGGGGACAGTCGGGGTTTTGGGGTCTGTCACACCTGTCCCCACCTGTCCCCTCCTGTCCCCAGGTGATGTACCGGGTGATCCAGGTGGGGACAGTGGGTGGCTCTGGGATTATCTGTGTCACACCTGTCTGTCCCCAGGTGATGTACCGGGTGATCCAGGTGGGGTCAGTCAGGGATTTGGGGTCTGTCTCACCTGTCCCCACCTGTCCCCTGCTGTCCCCAGGTGATGTACCGGGTGATCCAGGTGGGGTCAGTCAGGGATTTGGGGGTCCCTGTGTCACACCTGTCTGTCCCCTGCTGTCCCCAGGTGATGTACCGGGTGATCCAGGTGGCTGACGGGCAGCTGGACGCGCAGACCGAGGGCACCAGCGCCATCAGCGGCTACCCGGCCACGCAGTCCATGACACAGGTGGGTCACCGGCCACGCCCCTGTCACGCCCCTGCCACACCCACTGTCCCCACACAGTCCATGACACAAGTGGGTCACCGGCCACGCCCACTGTCCCCTCTGTCCCCACACAGTCCATGACACAGGTGGGTCACCGGCCACGCCCACTGTCCCCTCTGTCCCCACACAGTCCATGACACAGGTGGGTCACTGGCCACACCCACTGTCCCCTCTGTCCCCACACAGTCCATGACACAGGTGGGTCACCGGCCACACCGCTGACACGCCCCTGTGACACCCTCTGTCCCCACACAGTCCCCACTCACCTGACCGCCACCCAGTCCACAACACAGGTGTGTTATGGGCCCCCATTTGTCCCTCACCTGTCCCCACCTGTCCCATGAGCTCACTTACGCCCAGGTCTCACCTGTGCAGGCGGTGATCCAGGGCGTGTTCCTGTCCCTCACCTGTCCTTGTCCCTCACCTGTCCCTGTCCCTGTCTTTCATCTGCCCTTCACCTGTCCCTGTCCCTCACCTGTCTCTCACCTGTCCCTCACTTGTCTGTCCCCTGCAGGCAGTGATCCAGGGCACGTTCTGGGCTCACCTGTCTGTGTCCCTCACCTGTCCCTGTCTCACCTGTCCCCAGGTCTCACCTGTCCCTGTCCCTCATCTGTCCCTCACCTGTCCCTCACCCGTCTCACCTGTCCCTGTCCCCGCAGGCAGTGATCCAGGGTGCGTCTGTGTCCCTCGCCTGTCCCTGTCCCTCGCCTGTCTCACCTCTCCCTGTCCCTGTCTCAGCTGTCCCCTGTCCCTGTCTCAGCTGTCCCCTGTCCCTGTCTCAGCTGTCCGCTGTCCCTGTCCCCACAGGCAGTGATCCAGGGCACATTCCTATCCCTCACCTGTCCCTGTCTGTGTCCCTCACCTGTCCCTGTCCCTGTCCCTCACCTGTCTCACCTCTCCCTGTCCCACCTGTCCCTGTCTCACCTGTCCCGGTCCCCGCAGGCGGTGATCCAGGGCATGTTCCTGTCCGTCACCTGTCCCTGTCACTGTCCTTCACTTGTCCCTCACCTGTCCTTGTCTCACCTGTCCCTGTCCCTCACCTGTCCCTATTCCTCACCTGTCCCTGTCTCTGTCCCTCACCTGTCCTTGTCCCCATGTTTCACTTGTCCCTGTCCCTGTCTCACCTGTCCCCATGTCTCACCTGTCCCTGTCCCCGCAGGTGGTGATCCAGGGCACGCTCCTGTCCCTCACCTGTCCCTGTCCCTCGCCTGTCCCTCACCTGTCCCTGTCCCTGTCTCAGCTGTCCCCTGTCCCTGTCCCCACAGGCGGTGATCCAGGGCCTGTCCCTGTCCTTGTCTCACCTGTCCCCTGTCCCCACAGGCGGTGATCCAGGGCCTGTCCCTGTCCCTGTCTCACCTGTCCCTGTCCCCGCAGGCGGTGATCCAGGGCGTGTTCCTGTCCCTGTCTGTGTCCCTCACCTGTCCCTGTCCCTGTCCCCGCAGGCGGTGATCCAGGGCACGTTCTTGTCCCTCACCTGTCCCTGTCCCTGTCTCATCTGTCCCTGTCCCTGTCCCCATGTCTCACCTGTCCCTGTCCCTGTCTC